CATACGTTAGAAAACTCGAATTGAGCCTTATTTTTGGCAACTTACTTCTTTTACTTAATATTTTATTTTGGTATAATTTCGAAATTTTGCCATTTTTGGTAATTTTCCCATAATTTCGTGTTTCGCAACTATTTGTAGGTTAATTTTGATCATTCAGCATTATTAATAATATTGAGTTGAATTCAGAGTATTTTCTCTGATTTTTGGGCATTTTCTGTCATTTCTTTCTTGCGAATCATCTGCTACAACAAATCAATAGGATAATCACTATCCTACCCAACATCACCTTTACAATAACAATATCAATACCATGAAAATTTTAAAACTTCAAATTTCACTCTATCTCTATCAAGGCGGGGAGAGGTGAGAAGGTAAAAAAAAATGTCAAAAAATAAAATTGCACAAGGAAAAGTAAAAAAATAAACATCAAATCAAATAATTTTCTTTTTTCCACACCATGTTTGCAAACAAAAATAACAATAAAATAGCCGTTTTCATAATTACACAAATATTCCCCTCCAATTCTAGTAATAATCAAGCAAGAATTCAACTTTGACTTTCATTTTAGCGTTATAAAAAGCCCTTTTTTCTTCCATTTCTTCATAAAAATATAAAATGACCTCATCCATTACTCTTAAGCATCCATTTCCATTTCAAGAAAATCTTATAACTATAATATAATCAAAAGAGCATAATATATTTCTCAAAAAAGATCGTCAAAAAATGAATACTTAAAAATAACCTTGTCATCCTCGCATACAACATTAGTCGGAATTTCCTTGTTGATTATCTTGTCGAATCTGCATGTCGTCAACCATAAAACAAAAATAAACAAAAACCACTAACATAAAATGTTCTTACCTTTCAAGTTTATTGTGAAAAATGTCCTTACCGACATTTTTGTTCCTATCTTCTACATTTCTTTACGCTGAACGTCATTTTCACCAATTTTGACTGTAAAATGACAAATGTGCCCTCCAATTTAAATAAAACAACAATAAAAAGAAAAGAAATATAAAGATCAAACTGCAATTACATGCACAAACTTTTAAAAATTGTAAATAAGCCCGCCACCCCACCCCATCCCCCCCCTCCCCACCCCAAAAAAAAAAAAAAAAAAACCTTCTTCCCACATCTCAACCCCACCCCCACTGGCCTCCACCTCACCCACTATAGGGATGGCAATTTGAACCGTTAAAATCAAAAATTGCGATTAACCGAACTGTTGGTGCAATGGGACGGGTATGGTACTTAATTTTAATGAACCTGTTCGTGACGGTGCGGGTATAGTATTAGGGATGGGAAGGTTTAGTATGAAGGAAGTTGATGATGAGGTATATTTTTTTATTTAAATCTTAATTAAAACCATTCTGCATTAGGTAGTATCATTATATTCTCTGCTTAAATTTCTTATTTACTATATATGAATCAATTTTGAGTGCTCACATATGCTAGTAAGAGTTGTGGGAAAGATTGAAGGTTGAATATGAGTTAAGGTTGAAACTTTTGAATTATTGAACTTGAATCAAGTAACTACAATGCACAAGAATCAAGAATGAAGGAAAAGTTTCGTATTATTATATTCATAATATTGTTTGTTAAATTTGTATTTTGCAATTGAAATTTAGGATAATGTTTGCATTTTCGTTTGGAATATTGTGTTTTTGTTTTCATTAACTCTCTTTTCATAAATTGTTTTATATCAATTTGACGGATGGACCTATAAAAAATAATTTATTTTCGTGGTTATTAACCGAGCCGAGCCAAGCCAAACTGAGATACAAATCGAACTGAACCGAACCGATTTATGTGGTTATGGGGCGGTGATGGTGTGACAAAAAATTTGACAGTTCGGTGATTATTTTGGCCGAACTGAACCGTTGCCATCCCTAATCTACCACCTCCCATGCCACTATCGGCCTCCACCTCACCCACCATTTTCTATAAGCTTATAACTGCAAAAAAGCTACCAAAATCTGTAGGTGAAAAACAAATTAGACTCATTAGTGCTTATGTTCACACCCACATAAGTCTCATCTTTAAAAATACAAAAACTAACTACATTTGGCATAAATAATAACAAATTAATGATTGAATTGATTTTCCTGGAGTGGGTTCTTGGAATTATCATTACCTGTGGAGAGTAATATAGGAACGAGAGAAATGATGAGCAAAATCAGAGTGAAGGGAAAGGTAAATTTTAGATTTTCCATTAAAGAGAAGCTTGAAATTTTCCTCAATCATCTTCTGGTTCTGTATCAGGCAAGGCTAATTTCATTATTTTAGCAATTTCTTGTGAGTTCTTAAGTGATTTTGACTTACAAGATCTGGTTATGGTAGAAGAGATATAGGAGAAAACGTTGATGAACTGCAGAATTACTTTACTTCAGTATTTGCACTTTTTAAAAGTTTGGGTATATAGTTGCAATTTATTCTTTATTTTTGTTTTTGTTTTTTTAAATAGAAGGATATATTGGTCATTTTATGTTAAAAATAAGTGAAAATGTTGTTCAATGCCAAAAAAGGTGAAAGATAGGGGCAAAAATGTCAAAAAATGAAAGATATGGACGTTTTTCACAATCAACTTGAAAGGTAGGGACGCTTTGTATCAATTTCCCAATAAAATATATATGGGGAGAGGGACGGAGAGAGTATATGACACTTCTACACTAGACAGGTCCCTTTTTGAGCAAAGTAATACGAGAGTATATGGTGGGAGAGTCAGATGGAACAACAGAGAGAGCAGCCTCTTTCTCAAGAGCCATGATGGACGCTGGTTTGTGTGAAGATATTAAAAGATTGCGTTTGATTAGCATGAAAATAGACTTAATTAAATCACCAATCACCAACATTTGGTTTCAGTTATTACTTGCTCACCCAGAAATAAATAGGCTCACACACTTGTAGAAAGAAATTACGCATCCATCATCCGTTTCACTTCCATTCATCTATGTAGGCAAAAATCTCCACGTGGCAGACGAAAATCTTACGTAACCACTAACACCGTTAATAATTGACAAGTGTCTGCTAATTATTTGCAACTTCTTCCCATAAAAATTGAATGGAATGTTTTTCCCTCTTCCAAACAACAACTCTCCCAAAAGCCCTTTCTTCCAAAAACCCTTCTGCCCAATCTTCTATACAAAAACCCTTTTTCCTCTTCCAAACAATATCATACTAGGAAACCATCACAAGTTAGTGGATTGTGCAAACCAAGACGTAAATTCACTGAATTATGAAAAATATGCAAAACTTTTTGTCCGTCTCTTTTTCGTAATCTGAATGGCCAATGCCATTTCTACAAAAAAAAAAATGCCACCATAAGGATACTCTAGCTATATATTGATATCGGCAATGGAGAAATGAGGCAAAAAGTTTTAGCAAAACGAGACTTTAGTTAGTATCACAAATCAGGGCTTTCTGTGCAATCAGCTCCAATAAATAAGACCTTCTCCATTGGTCCAAGTGAATATGATGCGTTCACTATCTCTGGATCAATCGATTCTAAAACTTTGTTCAAAGAAATTGCTGTTTTGATCCATTGTACAACATCAATACCACCTTTCTTATTACGGATATTATAGATTTCATCAGAAAAGGGTAAAAAAGGAACCTGCTTGTGGTTCCTCGTCTACTTGGGGACAACGTTTTTGGAAGAAAAGGTTTTTGGGAGAATTGTTGTTTGGAAGAGGAAAAAACGTTTTCAATTTTTGTGGGAAGCAGGTGCAAATAATTAGTTGCCACTGGTCAATTATTAATGGTGTTAGTGGTCACGTAGGATTTCCGTCTGCTACGTAGAGATTTTTGCCTACTTGGATGGATGAAAGTGAAACTTGGTGAAGGATGCATAATTTTTTTCAAAAGTAGGTGAGCATTCAGTAACTATTTATTTTTGGGTGAGTAAGTATTAACCAAACCCAAATGTTGGTGATTTGTCATTTAATTAACTCCATGAAAATATTAGTTAGAAAAGAAAATGTTTAAAATGTTTTCCTTGGTTCAAGAAAAACAAAAATCAACTCCCCCAAATAAAATATTTTCCTTAAAAATAAGAAAAATTAAGCATTTTTTCAAAAGTTGAAAAATATTTTCAATGAAAAAAATAGCAATCAAACACTTCAAGAAGAATTTGGGTGAAAAACTGATATTTTTCATGAAAAATAAATGCAATCAAACACACCTTAAGTGAAAAGTGACTATCAAGAGGTAGCTGGATTCTGGGGTTTTCATTTTTGCAGATGTTTTTAAATTTTTTTTCCTTTTTTGGTAGGGTTCTCTAGTTTGTATAATTTAAGAATGAGGACTAAATATCTAAATGATATCAATATTGGACCAAAAGTTTTGTGGAAAATTCATTTTGCTCCCCATTCTTTTGAACACCTATAATATTATTGCCATTGAACTAGCAACATTGTGAAACAAAACGAAGGTTCACCATGATGGTTGTAGTTCCATGAAGTACGTAATAGAAACATTAATTGGATCGAGAGAAGGAACATGCAAAGTTAATGGGATTAGATGTTTCGTGTAAGAACGAAATTTGGCCCTTTGAAGCTTGTTCGTTGGGCATGTATCTAAATTAGTCTATTTTTTGTGTTTAGAACGCATCCCAATAAGTATTGAGTCAAAAAATATTTATAAGAAATGATGGGTTTTCGTTAATAATGAATTTAAGTTATAAAGTTATTTTTAAAGACATTTCATGTAATCAATTTAAATTTATTAAAAAGGAGATGATTTAATTTGTTATTATTGATCGTGGACATGACCAGGAAGTATTTTTAGTAGCAATGATCGCATTGACAAGACCTTCGTTTAACACAAACCAGGCCCGATATGACCTATTTAGAGAGGTAGATGGTGTCGGGACCTATGGCCAACCACGCTCTTTGTCTTTTTTGTTTTCGAAAAAATCAAAAGGGATGTTTTGTCCTCAGGACGTGCTAACATTATTTTTATAATTCAACTCATTTTACATCTCTATATGTTGAAACTAGAAGTCTTCAAATGTCCATGGTGCCAGGACATGCTTTTTAGCTGTTTCATTGTGCTCTCTTCAATCTTACAATTGCACTCAGTATTCCAGAAAATAGATAACATGTAAATTGACTTGAAAAATGCTTGCTTGAACATAGGGAAAAATGGTCATCCGTAAGGCCAAATTGATGACAAAAATGCATCCAGGTTGCCAAAAATCAGTCTCAAATTTCAGGTCGCAACACTATAAAATGTCCAAACAGGAAAAGGGCTCGGTCGAAAAAGTTAACTACCACTAGTAAACCAACAATATGATGACATGACACAGTAAATCCATGTAGCCTAGAGTGGCCATGAGCGCGTTCTGCGTAGGAGATCCTTGGGTTCTGGTGGTGATATATTAGGCAGTGCCTTCTTCGGCTCCTGCAAGTACAATTACAATAATGAGTATAATATACAATTGAGGTTGCTTACTGAATGTAGAAGGAAGAACAAATCAATATGTCAATCAAAGAAACCAGTAACCAACAAACTGACTGATTTAAGATCAACCGGTAATGCAATTAGATCTGCTCTTCATAGATAAATACAGGATTTTCCTAAATTACAAGGTTTTTTCATACACAGTTTCAATGTCGTCTAAAAAAAGCCCCCATGGCCCCCACATAGAACAAATAAAGAAAAAAAGACAAATTAAGAAAAGAAAACCCTTTATATATGATAGGAAGCCTGACCAAATCTATGAATGAATGGCTACATAATCACACGTACAATAAAGGAGAGTGGGGAATCCTTTGTGTCTGCCGCATTAAGGGAGAAGGAATTCTCAACTCCAAGGAAGAAAAAGCATAGGAATCCTTTGTCTACCACATTAACGGAGAATGAATTCTCAACTTCAAGGAAGAATAAGTATATGAATATAAAAAATAACAATAAATGGACGCTTACTTTCGGCTCATCTGGCCATGAAAAAAACTGGTGGTTGACATTGGCAATGTGAATCTTATTCAGTTGGATCGTGTACATCATGCTATCAGTGGCACCATGTGACAGCATAAATGATGCATGACAAAGCCAATAGTGTTAAAACCAACCCAGTTTCCAATTTTGCTATTTTTAGGATTCAATTTTAGGACTATTAGTTTTGCTATTTGTAGGAGCGGGGCTTTATGCAAGGTGGGATGAAATAGTTGGATATTATGTCCATAGGCATCCAGAAGTTCATGAACGCTCCTTTCTGCCAGATTTTTTTGTATGACTGATTTAAGTACTATCGGCGAGCTCAAGTGAACAGGGGAACTGTGGATTTTTATGTTTTTGCTATTGTTGTTTACATATTGAGCCAATAGAATGGAATGAGATAAGAGAACCCTCGGAAAAGAAGAAGGAACATGCATAGCTTTCTCATAAAAAGAGGAATGGAAGCAGAGTGCAGGCAAACGCTAGAAGTCATCCTTGTATATTTTGTTTTGCCAGCATCCTATCTGCCTTAAGAAGTTCAGAAATGAAAGGACTCAAAGCCGATTCTTTCTCTATCGCTTCCTGATGAATGATTGATGCGAATACAAACCTGGGTTTCCCTTATATTAGATGCATGAGAAGTAGATTTTTACTGTTTTATTAATCCATTTTACCTAGAGCTTCTCTTTTATTTCTATAAAATCAAAACTCTGGACCAATACGCGAAGGAGCACTGGCAAGACACTGATTCTACTTATTTTACAGTTCTTTATCGTTCATGTTTTGCTCTTTCCAAAGGTTAAATTTGAGTTCCTTTGCAGCAGGCCGGGAACTAAAAATTACCTGAACTGACGAAATGGGTAAACTGAAAAGATCCAACCCATCAGAGTTCTCAGATACCGAATGTTGCGATACAGAAGGCAAAGACGACCGCTTGGTATGGGAAGTCTTGGCAGATTGCTTGGATTCTGAGGCAGCTTCCAGGAAGTCAAATGAACATACAGATTTAGACATGGAACTGCCATCAACTGATCCAACACTTCGTGAAGATGCAGCGCTCTGAATTTATGCAAGGTCATAGTAGAGTCAGTTGATGGGCCAAAAAACGATGACAGGAAAAGACAACTAACCACAAAAAGACAAACAAAACCATTCATCCACAATAAATCTGAGAGGAAGAAAAGATAGAAACTCAAATTTTAGAACTCAATTTCAACTTCTAAATCTTCTTCTCAATTGAATCCTGAATCATATGCAGAACAGAGAAGAAACGTCGCTGTTTAAAACCCCAGTTAGCAGATCAAATCACAATACTGATAATATCATACTGGTACAGAGGATTGTTTAAATTTTACTTATTACATCTTATAATTTTCATTTTTAATTATTTCCCCTGGCTTGTGCTCATGTCTTTCATTCTTTTTTTTGTTATTTTTTTAAGGGAGGGGACATTTGCATGCTATTTCAAGGTTGACAGCCGTAGCCTAGTTCAACCAATAGTCAGAAAAGAAATGCAGAAGTTTCTCAAATTTTGTAAGCATGCCAGATTATGAGAAAACAAAGACTCCATAATAAGGCGTCAACCTGATACTTGATTTATAGAAGTCCGGCACTGATTATAATAGTATCCA